CTCAAGATCGGTGGAATATTTGGCAAAAAACTTGATATAGTGAGCTGTAAAAACGAAAGCTGAAACTAAAACTTCTATGTAATTTTATTGGTAGGGGCCTATTGTGTTATTTTTGTCGGTTTATAACCAATAGGCCTACGTAGTAATTTCAAAATGTATTTGAAATATGTAAGCTAGAGAATTTGGACACTATTACTGTATAATTTCTGTGACGATAAATTACACCTGCTGTTTTGATAGTTTGAATTCGTAGGATTTAATTTGTCTGTCACATAAAATATAATAATAAAAAAACCGAAAGTAAACAACGAAATGTTGAACTCTGTTTCCATCAGTGTCAAGATAGTGGTACAAGTTTTGACGTTGGTTTTTACAAACAACCACAACCCTCTCGACATACGGGTCAAATGACACACTTCTGACCTCACTTCACTCAACAGACACTTCAACTCTTGACACAACCACATCATCTCTAACACAGCACAAGGTGTAATTCTACCTTTCTCCATCATCGTTGAAAGCGAATTCGCCCAGGAGGAGGTCTCGCAGCCGGTAGCGCGGAGGCAACGGTATGAACTCCGTAGGTACATCAGCGCGCGGCGGCAGCGCCATCGCGACTGACAGGTGGCTGCACGCAGCGCTAGTAGCGGCCGCGTCCTCAACTAGTCGGCCGTTGCTAGGCAACCTGCAACCACCGCCCCCACTCCCAGACGGCAACAAGTAGGCAAATATGGGTCACTGAGAGGTCAGGGGTCAGTGAGTGCATGCATACATAGGCCATTATCCAATGAATGAAGTATTTCATCTATGATACAGATGAATGTCTTGTATTTTAGTTATTTTTTTAAAGTTTTTCGTATGTAAATTTGAAACAAAGTTTTGTTCTTGAAATTTTGTAAATAATTTTGTTGCGATTCATCATTTATTTTTATTTGAAGACAAACAAGGCCTTAGGATAATGTGAGAAAGACACTGGGTGCTCTTCCCCAACCAAGAGCACCTCTTAAAATACAATCATTTTCCAACACGAAAACCACAAAAGTTTTTATGTACAACCTTTACATCATAGGATCCTAGGCTCTTGCCCAAGACCGTTTAACACATTACTTCAGGCTAGGCCTAAAAGGGTTGCGGTTGCGGCAAAAATCTTACAAATTCTATAAAATCTATCGGTGATTCGCGGGATCTCAGGGACCTCGTGATCCACTGCAAGGCCGGCTTATTCCTATCAGAAACCATAAGTGTGTTTCTAAACCCTCTTTCAGATCAGTACGGGCAGGCCCTTTCTAGCTGCTTGAATCTGGGCATTTCGGAACCTAAATTATAATTTGTTTTGTGTTCCGAAGCTGTGAGTCTGCAAGTAAAAATGAAGAAAAAAAATGGCTATGCTTTACATGCTATAGCTTAAAAGGAAATACTGCTGTGACAGAAATGTATGAATAGACGGTGTGTGTGTGTGTGGATAGTACGATAGATGGTATTTTCCAAATGTTATGGTGGCAGCTTAGGAGTGACTAAGTGAAATTCATGAACTTTTATAGAATGTCTATAGCATCAAATACTAGATGATAGCTTTTGACAAACTAGTAGGCCTACTCGCTCTATTGTATCAAAGCTGGTATCAAGGAATGTGGAAAGCACTGTTGTGAGGTGGGTAGGTAACGTGCTCGAAAGAAGGAGAGCGCATGAATCTCTGTGTGGTACAGTGAGACAAGACCCAAAGAGGCACCACAGGTTGGCGTCCTCTCACCGAATCTGTAGAATCTGGTGGTTGACGATCTCCTCTCCAAGCTCAATGCACAGGGCATTTACGCTAAAGGATATGCTGACAGCATTGTTGTCCTAATAAGACGAGAATTTATGAACACTTTCCTGGAACTCATGCAGAGGGCATTGTCCATTATAAAAAGGTGGTGTGACCAGGAAGGTCTGAGGGTCAATCCAATAAAGAGTGTAATGGTACCAAATGTAAGACTACATTACTTACGTAATCTCTTCACAGCTCAATAAAACCATTTAATTGTGGATTTTAATAGTAATGGTATTATTTACAAGAGAAATTTTGACATCACTAGAGTACTTACTCTCTTCGGTAATCAGGTCCAGGTTAAGAGGGAGTTCAAGTACAGTAGACCCCCTTAACCGACCTCACATTAAAAGATAATCGGATTATCCGCCCTTGCTCCCAAAATATCACAGTTTGTTTTAACGGACCTTTTTCTTAGAGCAAGGAATCTTGGCATTTACGCTCCCAGGCTCGGCGTTGGGAACAATATGCTAAACTCAACAGAATGATACAGGCAATAAATAAACATCCTGTCTCTTAACAAATTGTTGATTGTATATCTTTAATTGTGACAATAAATTCTGTACTGTATTACAATGGATTCGTAATGCATCAATTAATATTACTAAATGTATTAAAATAATAATTTGTTTAACTCCTGCCTATGAATATAATTTATTCCACTGAAAGTATTTGACTTTACATAATACCATATTTTGGGTTTATTTGTGACTCGTCTGTCATCAATACTTAAGAAAATATGAGATAAGTGTAGTTTATTTTGTAAATAATGCAACCACAACCTCAGAATAATGATTATATAAAATTCCAAATGAATAGCACTTAATTTTTTAAAGTCTTTAGGGATTGCCTGTTTTAATCAACCTTTTGAGCTATGCGACCTAACTTCGGCCCGGTCCTGTTAGGGTCGGTTAAGAGGGGGTCTACTGTACCTTGTACCTAGGAATAACGCTGGACAAGCTCACTTGGAACAACCATTTGGCACATGTAACGCAACACTCTCAGACCACACTTATGATGATGAGACATATGTTGGGAAGGCATGGGGTCTCAGCCCACAAATTACTATACTGGAAATCGAGAAAATCTGGCCACTAGCTCTCATACTCAACAACTTTTCACAAAGACAATAAGCCGGTTCCAAATTTTATAATAAACTTCCTAAAAAAATCAAATTAGAAACCTCCAAAAATAAATTTCAATAAAAAGTTAAAAAGTTTCTTATCAACAAGGCTATGTACTCCTTTGAAGAGTTTTAGTTCCATAAGTTATATTGCTTTATTTCATAAGTTGAAACTTTTGGTTTTAAAATAATGTTACCTATCTATTATTTTAATTTTGATGTTTTCATGTTTAAACTTTTAAATTGCACTGCTTGTTTTACTTTATTTGAGCTGAAAAGCTATTAATGTTGATGGTATGTGGTTACGCCATGCTTGATAATTATGAGTATTTTAGTTAAGTTTTGTTAAATTACTCATGACGCCATTCCTGTATTTATGTATTGTACTTTAATGAATAAAGTTATGAAATGAAACGAAATGAAAATGACTAATTTTGGCTATACACTACGGTTGCAAGACCAATGATGGTGTATGGCTCGATAGTCTGTGGACCAGACCAAGGTGATGCAAACTACCGCTGTAAAGAGACTAAAAAAGATCCAGCGAGTGTCATGCCTTAGCACTAAAGGAGCCATGAGAGGCATTCCAACTAATCCACTAATCCAATCAAACTAGATCCACCAGTTTGTAGTGCTAAGCCTCCCACCTCTCGACATGAAGGTGAGGCAAGGATGGCAGCCTACAGAATGGATTGCAGTCACAACTAGAAGAATAATGCCTCCAGTGAGCATAAAAGGATTGTGGACACTGTGCAGATGGACACCTTAGAAATGTTACCAGACAGGATAGTGAAGATCACAGATCTAGAAAAGCCATACATCAACATTGTTGACAGGGCTGCCTGGGATAAAGGTGAACCTGAATACACTAAAAGGGGGATCACTTGGTATACGGATGGCTCAAAAAAGCCAAAAGACACTGGAGCGGGAATATAATGTAGTCAGACCCAAGGCGCAGTTATGCGTAAGTCTGGGGAAACTGGCTACTGTATTACAGGCTGAAGTTGTTGCCCCTTGACTGAATATGCAAGAGTGTGTTTGGAGTGTGGTCAGGCCACACCATATACATGAACTCGGACAGCAAAGCAGCGGTAATGGCAATTGACAGTTTTGAATTTACCTCTAAGGCAATGAGAACAACAAGGTTATCCTTAGTTGGGTTCCAGGGAACAAAGGTATTGCTGGCAATGAGGGAGCTGATAAGTGGGCAAATAAAGGAGCTGAAAGCCCGTATGGGTCCAGAGCCAACGTGTAGTATTGCTTACAACACATGGACATAGAACATCGAAGGAGCTGGGAAAGAACAGAAGGCAACAGTCAAAGAGAATGCTGCAGACACCTAGCGGTGTGATAGCTGCAGATGCCCTTGAGCTGAATAGGAAGACCCTGTGGAAAGTGGTTTGCTTCATTAGTGGCCACTGGGTATTCCGTGGACATCTACACAAGATGGGGATTCAAGTTAAAAGCCTCTTATATAGAAAATGTGGTAAGGAGGAGGAGACAGCCTTCCACGTTATATGTATGTGCCCAGCCCTACAAGGTCTGTGTATGAGATCCCTTGGCCTATCGACTGGAAATCAAAGAGAAGAACAGGTTATCATAGTCAAAAGAATGTCACGGTTCACTGAGAACCTGGGATTTGACGGAGAATGAAGACCTGTGAATGAATGAGGTTGCACAATAAGCTGTTTCAGCTGCGATGCAATTCCATGGTCTACTTAAAAACCTGGACCTCTGTCTAAAAAATAAAACAAGTGTGAAAGCACACATAATAGCCAATGTTTTAAAATCTAACCATCCTTTCTGGTTCCGCATTGAAAGTTTAGGTTTGTCCGGGTTTTTTTTTCAACCCTTCCTTACAGAGGTTTAGGTCAGGTCTGTCAGAGCGAACCTGCGCCAGTGTAGAGGTGTGCCGTTGGAGCTGGAGCTGTTTCAAGGGAGCGCTCTACACAAGGAGTGGAGCTGGAGCAGCTCCGACGGTTCTCATAACAGCTCCTATGTTCATTTGTCTATGCTATTGAAGCAAATATTCCTATTGGATAGGTATGATGGAAAATGAAAAGAAATGAGTATTTTTCAATTCATTTTAATTCGGCATTTAAAAAATCCTCAAACCACAAAAATAACAAATGTAAATTATACGTCATGTATCCATGAATGATATTTCCATATAAACTAGGGGAAGGGGTATCAGTATTTAATATAGAAATACACTTTTTTGTTTTACAACTTTGAATTTTGCACAGTTTTTTTGTCTTTACACTACTTATTTAATAATATAAAGCAGAAAAGCCAAATTGCATAAATTGGCCATAAAGTTCAAATTAAACTAAATACTAGTTGTTTGGTATAGCTAATTATAATAAATAATATAAGTTACCTGTTTTAATTCTTAAAACAATACTGTATCTTGACAAATTATAGACGTGTAATAAACACTTGTCATGGAGAAATAAAATGATTTTCAAGGGATGATAAGTTAAAAGCAAAATATTTCTCAGTGGAACCCTTCGTCAAATAACTTATAAACTAAATCAGAAGCAATTGCTCTCTTGGAATGTTAGTTTCATGTCCAAAATTGCACCCCTTTTGTAAATAAAAAAGATTATTTCAAAACTAGGCTAATATTGCTCTTGGCTATAAAAACCCATTTACATCAGCATTTAAGGATAGACAAATAATTATTTGCTGCATGAACAAAATCGTAATATTGCAATCAGCAAGCAATAAATTCTAAATGCAATCTATTCAACAACATTTAAAATAAGTAATTGTTCCTCAAGTCAAGTTATGTAAGATAATATAATAACATTAGAAACCCCTATATCTCTTTAATATATCACACGATTTAGCCACAAGTGAATAGACTTCCAAACTATACACAAACAATGATCAACAACAACAAAATCTACACAAAAACACACCTTAATCCTAATGAGGAAAATTAAAAATCAAATTACACAAATCTGTGAACAGTAGTATCCAGCCTACCGGTACTTGTGTTTATAAAAGATAAATACTCTGTGACTTGGAGTTGCAAGTGTTACGAGGACGGAAGGGCCTGCGGGACTGAGAAGAGAGCGGGAGGCAGCGGTGTGCAGTGTGTCGACGCAAAGTCTGTCAGATATATACTCGCCTAGGAATCAAACACAACAATCGTTATAAAACTTAAGACTTTTCCTCCACGATCAGTAATAGTATATTTCACTTCTTCTAATCCTGAAAGTAAGTACCTGAGCCCAGAAAACAGCTAGCAATATAAAACAAAATCAGAAAAGAACAAGTCAGCTGTGAACAATATTTCTCGTAATAAAAGAATAAATGTAGGCCCTAGTACACTAACTAGAAGAGTACCCGTCCTTCGTACGGGGTTGGCATATAAGCCGTTGGTACACCTTATAACTTTTTAATGCTATTGCATATAATAGAACCAACTTAAATGGTTGAAACAGCTGACTAAATTCTTTAAGGGTAGCAGTGCGCGAATACACCACTCCCATGTTATTCTTATGGGAAAACATGTGATTAGATAGGTACATTTATTTTTAAAACCGTTAGAGATGTTGACTTAAATTTTTTTTTTATTCATTCCTTAGATTGTTTTCTATGATTTTGTGCCATATAAACAAGAAATTAGGTCTAGTTTTTAAAATATAAAATTAAATAAAAATTACTAATTTTTAATTGTGTTTTTTTATAATAAACAATTTATTTTTAAAGTAAAATTAATGGTAACATTCTAAAAATGCATGAAACTATTCACCATGGTAACAGGAAGTATTGTGTAAAATTTGGATCTGACTTAGGGGAGGTACGATTGAGGCATTAGTTCAAAATTCCTCCGTGAATAGCGCTGTAGTAGAGAGCATTTTGGCAATGAAGGTTTACTAATTGCAAAAATAGTTCTGTTCATAAAATAAAATTATAAATGCCTCAAATTCAATTTTAAATTTTTTTTATTATAAAATCACTATCATAACCTAACCGAACTAACCAAACTTGCTGATAATGAAATAATATAAAAAAAGATTATTAATAGAAAAAAATAATTCTGTTCATCAAACAAAACTAGAAATTGCTCAATTAAAATTTTATAATGACTTAATAATAAAATTAAACTGTCATAACCGAACCAAACCAACCAAACTTGCTGATAATGAAAAAAGCTTAGTCAAAAAGTTAATTCCACAAGCGGGATTCGAACCCGAGACTCACAGACTGTCAACCCGGCACGTTACCCACTAGACCATTGAGGCCGATAGCTGAAAACCGTATTGTTACGCTAATGGTGTTCCCTCTGCTAATGAGAAGCCCATAGCTGTCATCGTAACCTCATCTATACCTCCCCTGAGTAAATACCGTAAAATTTGGGCTTGATGAGTTAAGTAGTTTTCTTTAGAATGGTACCCAAACTTATAAAAACTAACTTTCGGATATTCACATTTGAACCCTTGAAGGGCAGGCTCAGTAGAATCCAGAAGGGCCCTCTTTCAAAAATCGGGGAAAATTATTTTTATTTACAATATTAGACTATGGGTACTCAAATTGTTCAGTTTTTTATCCTAAATGTAAATATGCAGTTTGATTGAAGATAAGACTATTACAAGCTTAGTAAACCAGGAAAACCCGGAAAAATGGGTAGTTTCCTTAATTTATCTTAATGGAAGATTAAAGATTCCTTCTTATGTAAGAAAATATCCAAAGTAGGCCTATAAGTGTTATATATTTTCTTAAACAGCACAAAATAAACAATATTTTGTCATCATTTAATAAAAGTAAATTTTTTGAGCATTTTCACGCACTGCTCCCCTTAATTATCCCTTTTAAATATGAATACTCATAAGGTTAACATGGGGAACAACAGAGGTACTGGGGCGGAGCCCGAAAGGATTTTTGAGATAAGAATAGTAATCGGGAATGTGAGCTATCATCTTGCCAAATTTCAGCCCCATCCGTCCAGTAGTTAATGCATCTCAGAAGGTGCTAATAGTTAAGTTCCTTTCAGTGGGGGAAGCACCACACTGATTAGACTTATCAGTGGGACATTTGATTAGAATAATTTCACAATCACAACTCGTGATAGCTAATACATAATGCAACTCACTAAGTAAAGCAGATGCTGAGTCTTCTGAGATGGATCTAAGGAAGTGCCAAACTGAGACGGGAAACTTGTCGGACCCTCCCTGTCTAGGTAGGCTGCTAGGATGGAACGACAAGATGCCTCATTGACATCGTACTTGACTAGCAACGACCCTGTGGACAAAGTCAGAGGTTGATTAATTACTGAAATAGTTAACATATTTCCTTCTGCCAGTTCATCAAACATATACATAAATGGAAAAAGAAACATTCCTGTGAAACTTACTATCTGCCTCTACAGTAAACCCTCTTTTTACTGCATTCCGTTAAACCGAAGCCAGGACTGATTGAAACCATAGTAAAAATTTAAATCAGTTAAAAATTAAATTAGCAAGGCTATAGGATCTGCCCTGGCAAGGGTTGTTGACAATTACTTGGAAGATAAAGTTTAGAAAGCAATTGTGTATTATTTTAGGAAATTAATTTTGTGTTTCAAGTTATAGATTTTATGATGATACGGTATCAAAACTATTGTTAGGAACCACCATTTCAGACCTCTTTGAACCAAAATAGTCTTTTAATTCCAACCAATGATTAACCCAAATAAAATTTTATTCTAAACAGCTTTGCCCTCTTAGGCCCGATTTCACCAAATTCACGCTAACGATGGTTTAGTTTATCTTCAGTTAAAACTAACTAACTGATGATTTAAGTCATAGTTAAGGAAATCTGATTTTGCCAACGCATCAAAACTAACGCTGGTTTTATAAACAAGAGTTTAGAGTAAAATCCAGGTGGCGGTGGCAGTGAATTGTCATGTTACCGGGCTGTTATGGGAACAAGTAAACATAACCTTTAAAATAAATCAGTGTTTAAAGTAGTGAAAACAAACCTGGAGTCAGCAAGATTATAAGAATACAATTGATTCTGAGCAGCAAGAACAAAATAACAACTGAAATAACAATAATAAATAGCAAAACAATTAAGATGAGTAAATAAAGACAAAAAACTTTGATAAAACACATTCAATTGAGAACAAATTGATTGAGTTTTGCTGTCGAGTCACGACTCAAAATCTAACTTTTTACAGGGAAGTTCAAGATTTCTGTTTGTTAACTAACCAGTTTGGTACATTAGAAGTAGTGAAAGAACTGGAGACAAAAGAATTACAAGAACATATCTAAAGATAACATCAAAATAATGGTTTACTATAAATACTAGCAGAATAATGAAAATTTAGGTTTAGTTATTGTCCTTAATTACGTCTGATCGACGCAAAACAATTGTTTGAGCGTAGGGTTAGGGTTACCCAAAACCGGGGAAAGGAAAAGGGAGCCTAATTTTTCAAGCAATGAAAAAAATAATTTGATGACGTTGGTAGAAAAACACTCTTTTCAGTCGGGATATAAGAGTGGCTATTAATCGCCTATCAGTTCAACCGAACGCTGATCACATACCTAGACTATACTAAAAACCTTGTGGGATAACCTAACGAAAAAGACCAAACGTGTTGATAGTTCATATCTAGTAATAAAATAAATTTTGTCTTGATTATTAAAATCATTAACCCTTTCTCTTATCCACCTAGTTTGGTGAACAACATAGGCTACTCTTCACTATCACTTTCAAAAGCTAATTCATATCGTATGTTCTTCTAGCATTTGGCCTTTCCATAGAAACTTAAAACCAGCTGATATTTACCTGACGAAAGATTAAAGAAGTTAACCGGTCAAAATTGGGCAGTTAATTATCTAATGACGAGTTAGTCTAAACTAGCTCTAACGGCGAGTGGTGAAATCCGATTTCGTCAGCTAAGAGTTAACTGCAGTTAGAACATGGTTTAACGGCGGTTTAAGTGTTAGGGTTAGTTTAATCGGGTGGTAGGGGTTTTACTGTACTTAAAAAAACACGTCATAGGACACTGATGTCTGTTAATTCAAATAGCTCTATTTGTTGCAAAGGTAAAATGGTTTGAAGAGTTGCTTTTTACTTTCTCCCCCTATACTTACTATAAGGAGAAAGTATTGTTTTTGTCAAAATTTTAGAGTTTTAGTTTTGAGTAGATATATCCATTTTGGGTCCCCCTGAACCCAAAAAAGTGGTTTTCGAAGTAATGTCTGTGTGTGTGTCTGAATGTGTGGATGTGTAAAGAGCTACAGACCACACCACACCTGTAGTACGATTTTGATGAAATTTGGTATGTAGGTACTAATCCATTGTGTCTTCAGGTGTTTTTTCCATTTTTTTAAATTTTGATTTTTTTGGGGGATTTGCCAAAACACCCATAAAATAACGGAAAAATAAAATTTTCTTGAAAATAGCCAGAATGATTTTGATAAAAATTTAGGATGTTAAGACCTTTAGATTCTGAACAAAATGGTACAAATCCCATTTCCGTAAAAATTACGGTTCAAAAGTTATTTTATCTGACGTTATTTTTCCATAAAGGATCCCTTAAAATTACAAATAAATTGGATTTTGGAAAAAACTGGTTTTTATTAAAATTAATGTGTTATGGTCCTTATAATTCTAAACAAAATAATGCAACCCTTATTACTGTAACAATTACGGTTGAAAAGTTATTGTATTTTTGTGATTTTTCCCTACAAAATTATCATATTTACTCCCACCGCTTACCCATAATAAAGTTTGTTGACAAGCTTATGGGAGAAAGTATATGTCAGATTTGCTGATACCGTTTATTTTTAAACTGTTGATAGCTTATTTAAAAAAATGTGACTTAGTAACAATGAAGATTTCTAAACACTTGGCCTTCTAAAAGGCCGCCTCTAAAAGCTACGAGTGCTATAAAAAAGAATATCAGTTTCTGTATTTTCCCTTATAAAAAAGATTAGATAAATTAAGTCTAAAACCACTAATACTACAACCAACACCAAAGAGACTAGAAAGTAAACATTCAAGTTCACCCTGTGGTGGTCAAGTCAACATCCTTTGGAAGTGTAGTTGAGGAAGTCATTATATCTAGACTTACACAACAAATGATGAAAAACAAATTAGTATCTCCAGCAATAAACCTAATCTCTAGTGGCATTTACCGACTGCTTAACCACAATATCTTAGGTGATATGATTCGGCTAACTGGAGCAGACAGCATTTGGGGTAGATGAGTGTTTACAATCCTTGCATTCAAATCTAAAGGTCGCTGGTTCGATCCAAAATGTATTCAATTCTGGACCCATATGCTGTTGGGCTATCAATTAATCATGGTACCTAATGGTCAACATTAGGTAGTAACATGACATTGGACTGTTTCCTTACAAAATACTTTATTGATTGCCTATGGTGCCTTATGTAGAATAAAACAACATAAACACATTACTGCTGGCTCTCTTGTGTGACAGGGATGTATTATTTTTTTAGTTTAACTAACGACTAAGAATTTTACGAATTATGTCAACATATTGGAGTTCCATATAAATTAGGCCTATATTGAATTGTGTCTAGTAACGCAAAAAAGAAAACCCCTTGTTTAGAGGACGAACTTTATCATGGTGGGCCAATCAAAATTGTAATGATTAATAGTTAAAATTAAATATACTTACATGTATATAACAAAAAGAAAAAAAACACATATAATACAAGGTGTCAGTCTATTATGTTTATACCACTTCAAAACAAGTTTAGGGGATATCAAATGTCATTCAGGCAGCGTACAGTGTAATAATTATTGTTTTGCTATATCATGAAAAAAATGGATAGTTTAAAATATTTTCTTTTATAAGTCTCAAGAGTCTAAAACAGATTTTCTTTATGATTTTTTTAATTATGTCTTAAAAACAATAAGTTAACCTAATTTTTTAATTAAATAATTCAAACATAATATGTTATTTACACATACCAAGTTTTTTTTACATTAAAAAGTGCTTGGTTTTGATGGATTGGGTATGGATTATTTTACTATTTTCGGTTAAAAATAACTAACTTCCCACACAAAATTATTCCAATCAACATTCTATAGACTGAAAATAGGAAACTGTTCACTTCCGTTCAAGCTTCATACAGTTATACCAATTTGACCAACTGTAACGGTCGGAGGAACAATGGTAAACAAACATTTTATTGAATTCACAACCGGTAACAACAATTGATGATTGTAGGTCCAGAGAGAGAGGGGGGGGGGGGAGAAATGGTATGATCAGCTGTTAATGACAATGGGTAACCCAGATACAGGATGACTGACAGTTTTGCTGGGAGAAAGCATCAGTTCAGCTGTGGATGTGGACCAGAACTTATCTCCTGTGCCTCTCTGTGTACTCCACCATGTCCTTCCCAACCCCTGGTGCGTATTTATTTTTACCCGCCTTTATTTGTATATTTAACAGCACTTAAATCAAATCCAACTAAACTTTATTCTGGTATTTTACATCATGTACAATTGGCATTAATTTCTTCTGCACCAATAATGCAATACATAAGTAGTAAAGTAAATAATAATAATTAAATAAAAATATTAAAATGAATGTAGGTACTATTCACTATGTTAGACATTAAAGAAAATGTCTCTATATTTATAAAAATCATTCAAAGAATAATATGTATTATTAAGCATAAAAAGGTTTTTAAAATTGTCTTATATTTATTTATATTACTTTCTGTTGTTTTTTCTGGTCTGGTAGTCTTTTTTTATGTTGCACCCATACAAAGTTTATTGATTTACTCATTGAATAGGCTAATTAACTTTTTTTTATTCAACCTTTCAGATATTTTTAAAACAATACTTTGCTTTCTTCAATTGATTAATCTCAATTTGTTTTTGAATTTTATATTAGAAATTTTATTTTATTTTATGAGGGACTCATTCAATTTCCCACTGAATAATTTTTGTAGGCAAATTTGTCCAGTGCCGCTCTTTTATTTTTGTATATTTTATTCATATTCTATTAAATGTTAAATTTGTGTATTTTGACAACGACATCATGTTCAAATAATTTGAAACTAGTGTACCTGTTGCTCGAATTCGAGCAATTGCGAAGCATTACAGGCGACTCACGAAGATTATGGAAATACTCACGATCTACGCAACAGTTAGATATAATCAAAATCTTTTGTAAATATCATATCTTTTCTCAAAAAGCTGATCTTGTTTTTTAGTGTTTCTACAAATTTTTCCCTCTCATAGCCGCATTAGGTTGTCTATAATAACGATTATAAAT